CAGCCCCCGTCATCCAACAAGCGTCCCAGCAACAGCACGCCACCCCCGACGCAGCTCAGCAAGATCAAGTACTCCGGAGGGCCCCAGATTGTCAAGAAGGAGCGACGGCAAAGCTCATCCCGCTTCAACCTCAGCAAGAACCGGGAGCTGCAAAAGCTTCCTGCCCTGAAAGGTACTTGGAAAAGGTCAAGGGGGCCGGTGCACCAGGCCTAGGGGTCACGGGGCATTGGCGGAATGGAGGTCTGGGGTATTTTGGAGAGATGGAAGTTCTAGAGAATACGAGAGGGAGTTCCACCGGGGCTGGGGAAGCCAGGGGAGCAGGCTGGCGGCAGGGCGGGGTAGGGGAAAGCCCCGGAAGGCAAGTAGCGCATGGCAGTGAAGGGCTGGGGAAGAGAGTGTCACTGTTACCTCGTCCCCCTGCTCCAGATTCGCCCACCCAGGAGCGGGAGGAGCTCTTCATCCAGAAGCTGCGCCAGTGCTGCGTCCTCTTTGACTTTGTCTCAGATCCGCTCAGTGACCTCAAATTCAAGGAGGTGAAGCGGGCAGGACTCAACGAAATGGTGGAGTACATCACTCATAGCCGCGATGTCGTCACTGAGGCCATTTACCCCGAGGCAGTCACCATGGTGGGTGCTGCGCAAGGGGGAGAGTGGGCAGGGGCAGCGGCTGTGGAGAAGCCTGGCCGGGAGCTCTCACCTGAGTCCTACCCCTCAGTTTTCAGTGAACCTCTTCCGGACGCTGCCACCTTCATCGAACCCCACCGGGGCCGAGTTTGACCCGGAAGAGGATGAGCCCACCCTGGAAGCTGCCTGGCCGCATCTGCAGGTATCAGGGAGAGGGGGCAGGCTGGCCCTGGCTGCAGAGAATGGGGCGCTCGGAGGCCTGCAGCCAGAGTGGGGGGATCTCCCAGTCCTTGGGGAATACCCCCTAAGCGGATGCTCATTGCCCCCAACAGCTTGTGTATGAGTTCTTCTTACGTTTCCTTGAGTCTCCTGATTTCCAGCCAAACATAGCCAAGAAGTATATCGACCAGAAGTTTGTCCTTGCTGTGAGTCCTTGAAGTTCTCATCCTGCTCTCCTTCCAGTCCATGAACTCTAGCCCCATGGCCCCTCGCGGCAGGCCCCGCTCTTTCTCCATCTGCTGAATATATGGGCTTTCAACTGGGTCTGGTACAAAAGGACTAGTGGTGGTGGGAGGGATAAACAAACGTCTCTGCTCTCAAGAGGCTTCTGGCGTAATTGAAGGAAATAAGCAACAGTTACCTGTTCCCCAGCAGTGGGGCCCGTAAACGTGCGTACCCAGACATCACCCTGGGGAGAGCCGTGTGAGAACAGCACTCTGCTCTCCAGAGACTTGTCCCCACACACCCCCATCCAGAGAATCTCTGGGTGTCCCCTGGCTAGGACCCTGTGTCACCCCAGCCCTGGCCCTCCCTGGCTCCTGCCTCACTCACCAGCTTTCCCCTCACCGGCTCGCAGCTCTTGGACCTGTTTGACAGTGAGGATCCTCGAGAGCGGGACTTCCTCAAGACCATCTTGCATCGCATCTATGGCAAGTTTTTGGGGCTCCGGGCTTATATCCGTAGGCAGATCAACCACATCTTCTACAGGTGAGGCCAGGAGCCAGGCTTAGGAGCAAAGCAAGCCCCGCTAAGTTGGGGTGGGAGCAGGGTGGGTAGGGGGACTCTGTAGAGTGCTGCAGGGACATCAGGGATTGTCAGGAGAGCTTTTCTTTCTTCCCGCAGATTCATCTATGAGACAGAACATCACAACGGGATTGCCGAGCTCCTAGAGATCCTTGGCAGGTGAGAGGTGGGGTGGGGGCACGCGTGCCTGCAGAAGGCTGGGGGGATTGGAGCACTGAACTTGGACGCGGCCCTTTGGTCCTAACAAACCTCCTGTAACTCCTAGCATCATCAACGGCTTTGCCTTGCCCCTTAAGGAAGAGCACAAGATGTTCCTCATCCGTGTCCTGCTTCCCCTTCACAAGGTCAAGTCCCTGAGTGTCTACCACCCTCAGGTGAGCTGCCTTCCTCCTGATGATCCCTGACTCTGGCAGCAGAGAAAAGAGAGGGAGGGGAAGGTATTCCAGCAGGGATGGGGGTGGCAGAAGGAGTGGGTGGGATAATGCCTCTTTACACCTCTTCTTCCATTCTGGGCTCTTGGCTTCTGTCCCTGACCCCTCTGAGACCTGGGCCCTGCACCTCACCTCCTTTCTCCCTCAACCTTTTGCAGCTGGCTTACTGTGTGGTACAGTTCCTGGAGAAGGAGAGCAGCCTCACAGAGCCGGTAATTCCCCTCTCCAGCCCCAGGACACCTCTTCTTGTCGGTTAGACTCGCCAGTCTGCCTATCGAGGAATGCCATAAGCAGGGGCTCAGGAGGGGTGTGGCCCAACAGGTGACATGCTTTCCTCTCTGAAGGTGGAGTACAACCTATATATACACCTAGGAAACAGATCCAGGTCAGAGAAACGTGAGCAGTTGTGGGCGGGGGCCGCCCAAGCTGTGTCCACCAGGGTGGGGAGAGAGGGCAGGAAGACTTCCGGCAGAAGCAGGCAGGTGTTAAGGGAGAATTTTATCCCCATGTCCTCCTCTTCTCACAGGTGATTGTAGGACTTCTCAAGTTCTGGCCCAAGACGCACAGCCCCAAGGAAGTCATGTTCCTGAATGAGCTAGAGGAGATTCTGGATGTCATTGAACCTTCAGAGTTCAGCAAAGTGATGGAACCACTCTTCCGCCAGCTTGCCAAGTGTGTCTCCAGCCCCCATTTCCAGGTGAAACTCAGACCAGCACATCCCCATCCCTTGCCTTCCAGAAGCCAAGGGAGGGTTTTCAGCAGAGAGAACCGGATCCCCGCTGAGTCCCATCTGTCCCCACCAGGTGGCAGAGCGTGCCCTCTATTACTGGAACAATGAGTACATCATGAGCCTGATAAGTGACAATGCTGCCCGAGTCCTCCCCATCATGTTCCCTGCCCTCTACAGGAACTCCAAGAGCCACTGGAACAAGTACGGGGCTGGGGCAGGGCTGGGCAGTGGGGCTCTGGTTTTGGAGCCTGTGTGGGTGGGGAAAAACTGAAGAGCCAGTGGCCTCATCTGGTCACTGAGCAGGGGGGCTTGTGCCCACTGCATGCTGATAGGCCCTTGAGGACCCGCCCAGGGAGAAGACAGCTAGGTGAGAGAGGCTGCGACACCATACAGCAGAGCAGGGCTTGTATCCTCTTTCCTTACGGTCAGATAGTCTGCGGCTTTGGAGACCTAATGCCGTGCTCTGGAGAGGCTGATGTGATCTTTTTAGCGTGTGCTGAACCCCAGTGTTGTAGAGGCTTTCCTGCTGAATGCAAGTGCACTGTGCTGCAGACGCCATCCATCCTGCTGCTGGGAGGCCGTTAGCATAGGCCAGAGAGTAGGAAGTGGTGGGAAGAAGGTAGGTCTTGGAGCATGGGCTGAGGTGAAGGACGGACAGGCAGACTAACAGCTATAAAGACCCTGAAACGCCGATCTCCAGTCACACGATTTGGCTAGAGAGAGAAGCTTACACTGCAGAGGTCCATGAAAACTCAGCAGAGACCCCTCCTAGGAAAGAGCAAACTGGGGTCCCGGCACTGCCCTCGGTGTCGGTAAGGCCTCCTACACCCGATCCTTCTTCTTGGCGGCAGGACAATCCATGGACTGATCTACAACGCCCTGAAGCTGTTTATGGAGATGAATCAGAAGCTATTTGATGACTGCACACAACAGTACAAGGCAGAGAAACAGAAGTGAGTGTCTCTCTACCTGGGGGCTTCCATCTTTATCCCCGGCCCTTTTGCTTCTCTCTCAAGCCCACCCCCCCATCCTGTCCTTGCTCTCTCAGGGGCCGGTTCCGAATGAAGGAAAGAGAAGAGATGTGGCAAAAGATCGAGGAGCTGGCCCGACTTAATCCCCAGGTGAGGTTTTGCCACCACCACCCTGAACCAGGGGCCCAATTTGGCCGAGGGAGGGTTTGTTTGAGGAGGAACGTGAAGCAGACAGGCCCACCAACTTCTGAAGTGGCTCTCACCGCCTGCCCGTGCCTCTCCTTCCCTTATCAGTACCCCATGTTTCGAGCTCCTCCACCACTGCCTCCTGTATACTCGATGGAGACAGAGACCCCCACGGCAGAGGACATCCAGCTTCTGAAGAGGACAGTGGAGACAGAGGCCGTGCAGGTGGGAAGGCACCGAGGGAGTAGGGAGCAGAAATAAAAGCTCTGGAAGGGAGAGGAGACAGGAGCCCAGGAACAAGGGGAGGAAACCATAGAATCTGTTGGGAATTGGTCGGCATCCCTCACCTTCTCTGTACCCACACACAGATGCTAAAGGACATCAAGAAGGAGAAGGTGCTGCTTCGGCGGAAGTCAGAGCTGCCCCAGGACGTATACACCATCAAGGCGCTGGAGGCACACAAGCGGGCGGAAGAATTCCTAACTGCCAGCCAGGAGGCTCTCTGACCCCCTCACCGTCCTACCACAGGGCCATGGCCCACTCAGCCCTGGGACGCTGCCCTAGCCCCCCACCCTCTGCTCCCCACTGGCTGACTTGGGGCAAGGCAGTGCCTCTCTAGCTACTCTAGGGAGGGGATGCGGCACTTGAAGCGGGGACCCTCACATAGTGGTCCCTCTTCTCCCCCAAACGTGTTCATGCCTCCCCGTGGCTAGTACAGACAGGCTGCGCACCGAGATTCTCAGTGCTCAGACAACTTGGGGGTGCCTGGCCTCCTCCTGCTCCTAACCCCACAGCTACCTGAGGCTGCTCTGAGAAATACACACGGGAATACATATACTCCTCTCCCCTTCCCTTCCCCCTCATTTGAACTTCAGGTGTCTCTCCTTCTCTCCCTCCCCTGCAGAAGCACATAGGGAGCAGTAGGAGGTTACTCTCACCAAAGTTATGTCAAGCCCCATTGGCCCCTGGAGTAGCTGGAGGGGAGCCAACCCCCAACAGGCACAAATAGGCCCCCAGCCCCAGCAGTGTGCCGGCTGATGGGGTTGAATTACTTTCTTTTACCCCCTGCCTGACCAAGACAACGTGGGAGGTCAAAAGGAGAAAAGCATAGGCTATGGACCACAGGTGATGAATACAGGGCCCAGATGGACCAAGAGAAGGGGGTGAACAAACACCCTACCCTGTGCCCCCTCTATGGTGAGCAGCAGCCCTGGGATTACAGACATGCAAGGGACCACCCTGGGGTTGACTGCTTTCCTGTGCTGTTGGTTCCCAAAGCTAGGAGGAAGCAGGGAGCAGTGCCCCAAGCATGGCTCCCCGAACACCTATTTATTTCCTTGTTTATGCTGGTGATGGGCAGGCCCCCACTTGTCCCTTTTGGACACCTTGGAGGGGCGAGGGGCTGAGGAGGGCCAGACCCAGGTCCCAGGGGCCCAGGCGGTACAGCTTTTGGCTGTGTACATAGGGTGCTTTATTCTCCACAGAGTGATACATGCTAAGATGGGTTGGGCTTGGGCCGATGTCCCCGTATGTACAGAACTGAATAAAGTGGGTCTCTGAGAAGAAGTCTGATTTGCCTTGATGTGGAAAGGGAGATGGGAAAGATGGAGATGGACGTTACAACCAGGGATGTGTTCAGTCCTGTGCTGGTTCTGGCCTGGAATGCAGGGAGATAAGGCAGCTCTCAGGCTAGTCACTTCCAGGCTGGGGTCCCCTGCCGGGCTTGAAGGGCCTTCTGTACCACATCTTCCCACTGGGCATCTGATATCTCCCGAGCCCAGGCAGGAACCCCTGGCGCAGGCAGGCTTACTCCAGCCATCGTCCTTTTCACCAGCTCCACATGTTCTGAAATCACAGACAGAGAACAGTCAGGGGATAGAAACTATGGGACCAGCTCTGCTCCCCATTCCTTGAATTAACCCATAACCCTTGGGCTAGGAGGGTGACCAAATCCATCTTGTTATTTCCAGGCAAGCCTGCCCATCACCCAAGTCTAGCACAATAGCATTTCACCTGGATTCTGAAGTGTGTAAAATCTTAGAATACAAACTGTTGTTTTAGGAACAGGGTGTTCCTCCGTGACTCCCCTTCACTAGGTCTGACCAGTCCCTTTCCTCCATCATTATTCCAGAATGAAAAAATGCTCTCTTTACCGGGGTCCATGGGAATGGAGCTGTGATTGCTCAATCCTGTAGCTCCCTCCTCCTCTTCATCCTCGCTCTCTAATGGTGGGTCTGGCAAATGAAGCCCCAGGGCCTGCAGAGCCAAAGAAGACAGTTCAGGGCCAGCCCTTCCGGGATCCCAGCTTCAACTGGCCAGAACGGTGCCTCCTCCACCATACCTGGATCCGATCCTGAATATCAGCAACTACATCTTCTCCATCCCCCACCGGTGCTAGCTCCACCTCCTCTTGTTCAGGATCTTGGTTCAGGGGCTGATAGGAGTAGCCAGCTGGGCCTGCCCCCGTTTCCTCCTGCTCTTCCTCAGGCTCCTCGCTGCTCCAGTCCCCAGTGCCTTCCGCAGGGCCCTGGTGCGGCCCTAGTTCCTCAGTCTGATTGGGGAAGATACGCTCGGGGCCCATGGTGTCTCCCCCTAGAACTACTGCTGCCATCCGGGCAGGGGCTGCAAGGACAGGGATCGGATGAAATTAGGTCCACCTTCAGCCCCTCATCCAGTTTCTTGTGGTCTCCTGGGTCCGTAAAATATTCAAACGCTCCCAAGCTTCCTGCACCCCACCCTCTCCTGGGCCCTCCACCTTTTAAATCGGTTCATATCTTGAACCGAGGCCCACCCGACTTGCTCTGCCAATTCTTAAATAACAGCCCGAACGGAGTCCACGCCACCTCCCAAAAGACACTCCGTCCAGAACCCCGCCCTCCCCTACCCCCGACTTGGGAAATCCGGGTCGTCAAACAAGCTCCCCTAGACAGGGCGCACCCGCCCCCTTCTCCCCTCTCCAACGGGTTCCCTTCTGTACCGCCTGACAAACGCCCTTCAGGCCCCAGGGGCTCCCCTCAAATGACCCCAGCTGCGGCGTCCGCCACCCGCCCCCACCGATTCTCGGCGCCGGTGTTTCCGCGCGCCTCACCCGCTCGGAGCCCGCGGCTGAACCCAAACCTTCACTTCCGGCGGGGCAGGACGTACTCGGGCGCCTGGTCCTCCCGCCCCGCCCCGTGCTCATGATTGACGAGAACGAGGACGAGCAGTATGCCCCTTGTCCCGCCTCCGCCATCCCCTGCCCAAACAACAAAGGACTACATTACCCAGTGACCCCCAAGGGCTTTGACACATATATGCACATGCGCACAATCTCCTTCGGCTTCTGTCCACACCTCGGCCCCTCACGACTCTCCGGAAACCCGTGGACTACAAGTCCCGGTAGGCTTCGGGAACGTAGCTCTGACTGCACGTGCGCACACGGCTGCCCGCCGGAAGGACCGAGCCTGGCTGTGTTTATCTCGTTGGGGACCGAGGTGTCGGTTGGCGCGCAACGGGTTCTAGACTGCAGGCAGCGCGAGGACCCGCGGCCCCGCCCCGGCCCGGCCTGGCAGGTAGCCCGGGATGGGTTAAGGGACAAGGAAAATTGGAGAGGCTGGGGTCGCCCATACCTGGCTCTGGAGTCGTGGGGGAGGGGCCTGAGAATGATGAGGTGGGGGTGGGGAGGGAACTAGGGGGATGATGGGAAAGGAGAGTGTTAATGGGGAAAGAAGGGCTGGGGGAGGATGGTGAGGAAACGGGTGGTGGAGACCTGGTGCCTGGCGGAGGCACTGAAGGGAATTGGAAGGAAGACTGGGGTATGAGGAGAAGGGGAAGCTGAGGATGATGGAAGAAAGGGGGGGGAGGGTCTAGTACTGTGGGGGAGGGGAGGTTGGGATGACTGGAAGAAGACAGGGATAGCGTCATGTAGAGTGAGGACTATCCCTGGCCGAAAGGGGTCAGTGAATATTAGCTTTTTCTCCCTTAGTGGAAGAGGGAAAATGGAGGGCTGTTGGGGTGGAGCTTGGTGCGGTGGGAGAAGGAAAAAGGAGAAAACTGCAAAGCTCTCAGGAGATCAAGAAGGGCCAGAAATGGGGAGTGAACATTGCAGGAGACCAGGGAGGGGGGTATGTACATGAAGGGGATGGAAGAAGCTTGAGAATGCAGCAATGATGAAGGATCCAGGAGACCCAGAGATAAGCGGGGACCCTGAGACGGTGGGGGCTTTTCTCCATGAGTTTGAGTTGTCCTTGTGAAAAAGCTACGATTCTGTCCACCTTTGGATGGAATTGCTTCTCTCTTCCCCGTGAATTCTTTACTTTACCTTGACATAGTTGAAGGGGGGAGTAGAAGCTATGAGGGAAAATGAAAGACTCGAATTCCTAAACCCTTCAACCTCCTATCTCCCCGCAAGCCCAGATCCAAGATCTGTTGGATTGAGGACAGGAATAATGAAGTGAGAGTGGTTTCCTGCTGGGGCTATTTCAGGTTTGGCAGGCTGGCTATTTAAAGCATGGGATGGGGAGTTGAGGGAGGTTGAAGGGGGAGGAGGGTGGCGAGCCAGCTGAAAGCCATGTCTCTCTCTTTCGAGGGGCCTCCCTTACTTGCTTTTTCTGTGTCTGAGGTTCTGTCAGACTCTTCCCTCTGCCAGGCCTTCTTGAACAGGGAGCAGATGATCCACTCAAACCCAGCAGGTGCCTGCCAGTGAAGGCAATACCAGTTGTCTGACAGAGCCTTCAAATGTACCCATTATCTCTAGGTTGGCAGGTCATGCCTGGGTCTATTTATTATCCTGCCCAAGGGTGTTTTTTTGTTTGTTTGTTTCCTTTTTTTTTTTTTAAGATTTATGAGAGAGAGAGTGTGAGCATGAGTGGAGGGGGAGAGGAAGAAACAGACCCCCGTTGAGTGGAGAGCCCGCTCTCGATCCCAGGACCCCGAGATCATGACCTGAGCCAAAGGCAGATGCTTAACTGACTGAGCCACCCAGGCGCCCCTCCTTTCTCTTTTCTAATGCACCCCTACCCCATCCCCATTTCAGGGATCCAAGTGGGAAAAGAGCTGCTAAAATAGCTTGTTTATCTTTACAATAGCAGGGTTGGGGAAGTAGTAGGAGGGGAAAACCCCTCCTCTTCACTCCCACCCCCTCAGTCCCCAGCAGACACATACCTTTTTGGCTTGAGTTCCTAGTCTTGGCAGGATACCAGGCACAGCTGTCAAAGGAACTCTGAGTGCCTGTGAGGGGCCCTGGATGACCCTGATGACAACAGCTCAGCTTGACAGGAGCTGCCTATGAGGGGCTAACCATCCGTGGATGGTCCTGCTGTGAATCAATCCCACCCTGTCCTGGATAGGGGGACTGTTTCACTCTAAAGGTCTAAAAGCTTTTCTGCTTTGAAGCACCAATGCCAGTTTTCAATGGACCGATTGGGGTTGGCTGGGCTATTAATAGTCCTGAGTATTTTGAGATCCCTTTCCCCACCTTAAAGAGCAGAGATTCTTAGAGAGGTGGCAGTAAGCGGAGCAGAGCCGGAGAGACAAGAGAATGCACTGCCTTAGGAAGGAGGATGGGGGATGGGAGCGGGAGAGCACTTGGAGCTTGTGCCAGGCCAGGGACACGATGGGGCCTCCATGAGTAAATGAAGATGACCATGCCGAGCACTTGATCAGCAAATTCAGAGCTGTCAGTCAGGTCGGAGTGGCCCCACCCTTCACTGTTGGAGAACACGGGGCCAGGGCAAGCTCCCTGACCTCTGCCTCTCCCCTGGGCTACGGCCAGCCACCTGAACTTGGAGGGGTGGTGTGGGAGGGCCACCAGGGTGACACTTGGAGTCAAGGGCTGGTCCTGGGCAGAGTCACGGTGAGCCAGACAAAGGCCTTGCCTGAGGAGCCCGTGGCCCTAACTTGTGTGCAGGTAGCAGAGGCAGCAGGCCGTGCCGGGGGGGCATGTTGCTGTAACCAGTGACCCAGGGGATGTTACGGTGGACAGTGCACCTGGAGGGCGGGCCCCGCAGGGTGAACCATGCTGCAGTGGCTGTTGGGCACCGGGTATACTCCTTCGGGGGTTACTGCTCTGGTGAAGACTATGAAACACTGCGTCAGATTGATGTGCACATTTTCAATGCAGGTAAGCTAATGCTGGGACCATCCCTGGGTACCCACATCAGGGAGGGGAATGGGTAGCTGAATGAGGTTTGGCGGTGGTCCCCGTGGCCAGAGAGGATGGGGGAATGAATATCTGGTTTGGGAAAAGGTGAATAGCCTGGAGGGAGCTTTCCAGGGCTGAGCAGATCTGTGCCCACAGTGTCCTTGCGTTGGACAAAGCTGCCCCCAGTGAGGCCTTCCATCCGTGGTCAGGCTCCTGTGGTACCCTACATGCGGTATGGACACTCAACCGTCCTCATCGACGACATGGTCTTCCTTTGGGGCGGGCGGAATGACACCGAAGGAGCCTGCAATGTGCTTTATGCCTTTGATGTCAGTGAGTATGGGTCTCAGAGGCTGTATTCTGCCAGATGATGCCTCAGGGAAGTGGGTGGGGAAAGGTGTGGGCTGAGGCAGCTGGGAATAGGGCACCCCAGAATCGAGGAGGAGGCATCAGAGGTTGCTTACCTGGCCCATCCGCTTCTCTCTTTCAGATACTCATAAGTGGTCCACACCCCGAGTGTCAGGAACAGTTCCTGGAGCCCGGGACGGACATTCAGCTTGCGTCCTGGGCAAGACCATGTACATTTTCGGGGGCTATGAGCAGCTGGTATGTCTGGGAGGAAAGTAGAGGTTTAGGGTGGGCATGAGAAAGGGAAAGGGAAATTGAGGGTGGTGGAATAGGAGGCTTTGACTTGTTTGCAGGTTTTGAGGGGATAAGTGGAGGGTCAGAGAGTGACCACTGATCCCATCTTTTATTCCTTTCTTCACTTCCTTTCTCTTCCCACTCAGGCGGACTGCTTTTCCAATGACATTCACAAGCTGGATACCAGCACCATGACATGGACCCTTATCTGTACAAAGGTCTGCTCTTTATAATTTCTCCCAGATCCTTACCCTCAGTTGAAGAAATCATAGGAAGCTCAGTGAGAGCAGATCCCCTCCTAGCCACCGTGTTGACCCCCTCCCTCTCATCTCTCTGCTCCTGCCCAGGGCAACCCTGCACGCTGGAGGGACTTCCACTCGGCCACAATGCTGGGCAGTCACATGTATGTCTTTGGGGGCCGTGCCGACCGCTTTGGGCCATTCCATTCCAACAACGAGATTTACTGCAACCGCATCCGTGTCTTTGACACCAGGACTGAGGCCTGGCTGGACTGTCCACCCACTCCGGTGCTACCGGAGGGCCGCCGGAGCCACTCAGCCTGTGAGTGTCTGTTTGTCCCTGTGGGGCTCCCCTTTCCGCACGTTGTCCTCCCACTCCACGTTCCTCTCTCCTTCCAGTTGGCTACAATGGGGAGCTGTACGTCTTCGGTGGCTATAATGCAAGGCTGAACCGGCACTTCCATGACCTCTGGAAGTTTAACCCTGGTACAGAGCACTGCCTTTAGGGGGAAAACAAGGAGCGATTGATGGGGGAGGGAAAAAAATGCTAAGAGGGTGGGGGTGGAGAGGATATCTGGACTGGGCAGGTATTAAATCTCCATATACACTTCTCTTCAGTGTCCTTTACCTGGAAGAAGATTGAACCGAAGGGGAAGGGGCCATGTCCCCGCCGGCGCCAGTGCTGCTGTATTGTTGGTGACAAGATTGTTCTCTTTGGGGGTACCAGGTTAGGAGGAAAGCGGGGAGGCCTCAAGGAAGGGCCCAAGTCTGTAACTGCATGGGAGGCATTTGAGCAAGAGGGTCTCATGGGTAGTCTTTCCTCTTTCCTTCATCTCTTTTTTGATTCCTACAGTCCATCTCCTGAGGAAGGTCTGGGAGATGAATTTGACCTCATAGATCATTCTGACTTACACATTTTGGACTTTAGTAAGTAGACGTATTCCCAGAGTGCTGCTGCCACAGGGTCCCTGGCTTTGGGTGGTGACATTCAGGACTGGACCCTTTCCTTGCCTCTGATCATCTCCCTCTCCGTGACGTCTCCTTTAAAGGCCCTAGTCTGAAGACTCTGTGTAAACTGGCCGTGATTCAGTATAACCTGGACCAGTCCTGTTTGCCCCATGACATCAGGTACAGTGAGTGGTTGGAGAGCAGGGCTTGGTTGAGGGTGAGTGGGCAGCACAGGCATGATCTGATGAGCTTGGTCTCAGTATAGAGGGGACAGAGGTTTTTGTTCAGCTGGAGATGTAGTGTACTTGTGGAAAGTGAGAGGGAAGGAGATTCAATTCCGCCCCAGTTATCAGTGGGTAAATTATATGGGGGAAAAAAAAAATCTGGTGTTTCAAACCAAGCTCAGAAGCGTCATTTCTTTTTTTTTTTTTTAAATAAGAGACTCTTTTTTTAAAGAATATTTTATTTATTGGGCGCCTGGGTGGCTCAGTTGGTTAAGCGACTGCCTTCAGCTCAGGTCATGATCCTGGAGTCCCGGGATCGAGTCCCCCATCAGGCTCCCTGCTGAGCAGGGAGTCTGCTTCTCCCTCTGACCTTCTTCACTCTCGTGCTCTCTCTCATTCTCTCTCTCTCAAATAAATAGATAAAATCTTTAAAAAAAAATATTTTATTTATTTATTTGAGAGAGAGAATGAGAGAGAGCACGAGAGGGGGGAGGGTCCGAGGGAGAAGCAGACTCCCTGCTCAAAAGGAGCCTGATGGGGGACTCGATCCCGGGACTCCAGGATCATGACCTGAGCCGAAGGCAGTCGCTTAACCAACTGAGCCACCCAGGCACCCTAGAAGCATCACTTCTTGAGTCCCGAGCCTATTCGGTTGTTTTTAGCATGCTGAGAAAGTTTGATTAAATTTTCAAAGTTAGCTGCGAAGTACCAACAAGTTTAGGAATCTTTGGATCATATTAGTTCCAGAATTAAGGGAGGTCCTTCCTAGCTACTTCCTTTGAATTCCATTCTTAGGTCCAAATCAAGCACCAAAAGTTATTTGGTGTACAATTGTGTTTTCCTGGGTCATTCTGGACACTTTCCTCTCCTTGTATCAGTTCAGTTTAACTCTTACTTGCTGAGAGGGTGTGTGTTCAGCATCTGGTGACACAGTGTACAAGGCATAAGGAGGTACTTGGTAAATCTTTGTGGAATGATAGAATTGTCAAAAAGAGAGGGGACAAAAGGCATTTAATTTTTATGTGGTGGGAGGGGCAGGGAAGGCTTCTGGAAGCCTAGGAGAGCTGAGTCAGGCCCTTTAAAGGGATAGGAGTGGAGAGCAAAAACAGGCATTCCTGGTTGGATCTGAGCAGAGGATGAAGTTTACTGAGCTGTGTACACAGATGATTTTTTCCAGGTGTTGGGCACAAGCACACATAAACATAGACAGGAAGTCTGCATGAGCTTGCAGGTGGAGGAGTGGGTGATACTGGATTTGGTGGTGGGTGGGGCCTGATTGTTAAACTTATTAGTAAGGCCCTAAGGAAGGAGGTGGCTGTGGGTGGTTGAGCTTTCAGATGTTGAAGGGACTGGTGTGTTCATAGCTTTGAGCAATTCTGGCCTTGGGGGTGGAGGCTACCCCCCATCTGTCCTTTCTGCCTGTCATTGTTGGCCTTCCAGGTGGGAGCTGAATGCCATGACCACCAACAGCAATATCAGTCGCCCCATTGTCTCCTCCCATGGGTAGGAGAAAGTTGGCTGCCGCCTCCCTTTCCTGAGCCTGCTATTCTCTTCACTGCCCCTTCCCATCCCTCACCTGCCTGCCCCTTTGGACCCTGGACTCGGTATACCTCTGCGTGGAGTTGTTGGACTAGAGGTGTTTCCTGTGCTGTGAACTCAGTGGGGAGCTGTAGGGGGGAGGGCGAGATCCCTCCCCCCGCTTCGGGCCGAGGGCCCCTTCCCCTTGGTGCTCTGTCCCATACACCTCCTTCCAACTGCTCCTGGGCCTCTGCTCTGCCCCAGGCCAGCCAGGCTCTGCTGGGAAGCGAAGGAAATGGGGAGAAGGGAGAAGCAAGCAGTGTCTGAGCCTCAGGAGCTTCCCCCCAACCCTTGTTTCCACCCCCTCCTCCGCTTGAGCCATGAGCATCGATTGGGAGCTGAGAGGACTTGCAGCTGTTGCCATGAAACCTCCTTCTCCCTGACCTGGGGAGGCGAGGACCAGCAGATAATCCCACCCTTCCCTGAGCTGTTGCTGTTCCCTGGCACTCCCAGCCAGCTCAGATTTTATAAAAATGAATTAAAAATCTCCAAACGTGTGATCTGTTTTTGTGGAATAAGATGGGGGTGGATGGCAGAAGCTTGCAGAGGGGCAGGATGCTGAGGTTCTGGCCTCTCCGCCAGGAGCAAAAGGAAACCAAAACCCACCAAGGCCCGGCCCTAGTTTCTCTTGAGCGCGGAGTCCAGCGCCATGCGACAAAAAAAGTGGCGACATTACCTCGAGTGGGTGCCCGCCAGCGCGCGGGCCCGGCCCTTTCAACGACCGAGTTGCGCAGACGCGGCCTCCGGGTGAGGCCGGAAGAGGCGGGGCGGGAACCGCTAGGGCGGAAGTAGTGCCTTTCGGTGCCGCGGCGTCCCACGAGCCGATGCCGAGAGAGAGTTCCCGCGCCGCGGCGGCCGCCGGGTCTCCCCGCGGGACCCGGAGCGGCGGAGAGGACGCCGGGGGCCTGCGGCAGGGTGAGGGCCCGGTGCCGGGCAGAGGGGCGCGGGGGGCGGCGCAGTCACCGTGAGACTGCCAAGTTCTCTGAAGAGGCCACCGTGGGGAGCGCCGCCGACGCGTTGGACAGTGAGGGGGCGCTTCCTGGGTTAGGAGATCCTGGGCAGTTTCTGAAAAGGAGGATGAGGGTTTTCCGCAGGGAGAAAACGCATGTGTAAAAGTACAGTCAATCAGGAGAGGCATGGGTTGCTGGGAAAGGGTTAGTAGGTCAGGGTTCACCAATTTCAGAAACATTTGTTGAACATCTACTGTGTGCAGGCTGTTCCAAATGCCGTTCTAAGCTGCCCTAGTTACAGCGGTGAATAAAGCAATCAAAAACTCCTGTTCTCGGGGCGCCTGGCTGGCTCAGTGGCCAGAGCATGATCTCGGAGTTGTCAGTTCAAGCTCCGCACTGGGTGTAGAGATTACTTAAAATCTTTCTTTCTTTCTTTCTTTCTTTCTTTCTTTCTTTCTTTCTTTCTTTCTTTCTTTCTTATTTATTTATTTATTTATTTATTTAAGAGAGAGAATGAGAGATAGAGAGCATGAGAGGGAAGAGGGTCAGAGGGAGAAGCAGACCCCCTGCGGAGCAGGAAGCCCGATGTGGGACTCGATCCCGGGACTCCAGGATCATGACCTGAGCCGAAGGCAGTCGCTTAACCAACTGAGCCACCCAGGTGCCCCAGATTACTTAAAATCTTAAAAGAAATCCTCTTAACATACCTTTCAGAAAGGGTGAGCAAAAAAATGTAAATAACATTAACACACATGGGATTGTGTGTTTTTTAAGGGTTGTGACGTGAATTATATCTCAGTTTTTCAAAAAGTTTATAAGGGCTATGGAGAGAAAGCAAGGGAGGGGTTGCAATTTTAAGTAGTCAGAGAAGACCTCACAGGGAAGGTGACATTTGAGCAACAGTTTGAAGGAGCTGAGGGAGCAAGCACTAAATGTATCAGGAGAAAGCTTCCAAGCAGAGGCAATATCAAATACAAAGGAACCGAGGCAGGAACATAGACCTTTTTGCTCAGGAACTACTGGGAGACCAGTTGACTGGAGAGGAGTGGGAAGGACATGAGATTAGAGATCACATGGGGTCTTTCAAAGCATTGTAAGGCCTGTAGCTTTTACTCTGATCAAGAGGAAGCCATTGAGGAGTTTTGAGTTCTGGAGTCATGTGGTCTGAAGCATATATATGTGGAAAAGAGATGGGAGTGATGAGATCAGCTTTGCATTTTATTTTCTTAATGATTTTATTTATTTATTTGACAGAGAGAGACAGTGAGAGAGGGAACACAAGCAGGGGGAGTGGGAGAGGGAGAAGCAGGCTTCCCTGCCGAGCAGGGAGCCCGATGCGGGACTTGATCCCAGGATCCTGGGATCATGACCTGAGCCGAAGGCAGATGCTCAACGACTGAGCCACCCAGGTGCCCCTCAGCTTTGCATTTTAGATGCCTCTGTCAAACCTGAAGTGGGAAGCCTAGCTTTGGGAGGAGACAGAGATTGGGAGACCAGTTAGCAGGCTAGAGCACTGGGTAAGGTGAGAGGTGCTGAGAGTATGAAGCAGAGCACTGACAGTGGTCATTGAGCAAGGGAACCGTGCCCTGTGGGGAAGCCTTTGGAGGCATGATTCAAAAGAGAAGATGACTGTGGCTTGGCCCACCTCCAGCCTTGCAGTCCTTAGCCAGGTGAGGACCCAGGTGGCTGGAGTGGTTGGGAAGTTAGGTGTCAGTGTAGCACCATTATGACCTGTGCTGCCTGGGGCCTGTAGTGATTGGTCTGATGGGGGTATTGGAAAGGGTCAGTTACCTAAGGAATGAGGGTGGGATGAGGTCTTTGCAGCACTGGGAGATGCTTTGCTGAGTTGTGTCCCCACCCCTCCCTCCACAGACACATCTAACATGTCGTTTGAGGAGCTGTTGGAATTGCAGAGCCAAGTGGAGACTAAGACATACAAACAGTTGGCAGCTGGAAACAGTTCTAAGAAGCAAGGTTCTAGACCACGTGTCCAAAATGCATGTGCTGCAGATAAGCACAGGTGAGGAGCAGGGCCTGCTCCAGGAACTGGAGAATACCTGGGACCTTGGGTAGGTGTCTGAATTCTTAGGTGGGAGGCCTTTGATCACGTTTGGAGACCCTGGCGCACCTCTGCGGCTTGGTAGAGCATGTGACTCTTGATCTCAGCGTTGTGAATTCGAGCCCCACATTGGGTGTAGAGATTACTTAAAAATAAAGTCTAAGGGGGTGCCTGGGTGGCTCAGTTGGTTAAGCATCTGCCTTCGGCTCAGGTCATGATCCCAGTTCCCTGGGATCGAGTCCCACATTGGGCTCTCTGCTTGGCGGGGAGCCTGCTTCTCCCTCTCCCCCGCTTGGGCTGTCTCTCTCACTCTCTCAAATACATGAATAAAATCTAGGGCACTTGGGTGGTTCAGTCGGTTAAATGCCCAACTCTTGATTTTGGCCCAGGTCATGATCTCTGGGATGTAAGATTGAGCCCTGCATCAGGCTCTCACACTGGGCGTAGAGCCTACTTAAGATCTTCTCCCTCTCCCTCTAGCTCTCCCCCCTGCTCATGCACATTCTCTCTCTGTCTCTCTCAAAAATTAAAAAAATAAAATCTTAAAAAAGACTGGAGACCCTAGACATGTTTTTTAATTTCTCCGTAGGCCTCTGGAAATGTCAGCCAAGGTCCGGGTGCCATTTTTGCGTCAAGTTGTCCCCATCACTAAGAAGGTGAGGAGGAGGCAGGAAGAAGTGTCTCAGGGGAGCCAGAACAGTCCTTTTATACTCTCTCATTCTCTCCAAAGGTAGCCCGGGACCCCCGCTTTGATGATCTGTCAGGGGAATACAGTCCTGAGGTGTTTGACAAAACGTATGAATTCCTGAATGACATCCGAGCCAAAGAGAAAGAGGTTTGGAACATGAGACTGGCTCATGGGGATTCTGAGGGGTGGGAAACTAGGGTATAGGTTAGTCAGAGGGGGACAGATTTATTTCTCCTTAACTGATTTAACTCTCCCTAATTTGCTTCCTGTGTTCAAATCCTGGCTCATTAGTTGACTAGCTAGCTGTGTGACCATTGGCAGGTTCCTTAATTTCGCTGTTTTCTAATCATAAAAAGAGGTAATGATAATGCATATCTCAGAGTGTTATTTGCATTAACATGTGTGAACCTCTTAGAATAATGCCTGGCACAGAATTACAGTTAACATGTACAGACTGCTAACCATCGTATTCATTTTGCACTGTGGAGCTGGTGAAAAAGCAGTTGAAGAAGCACCATTCGGGGCAGGAGCATGAGAAACTGCACCAGCTGCTTCAGAGGATGGTGAGTGGGTCAGAACTGCAGGTGGGTGGTGAGAACAGTTCAAGGCAGTCAGGAGGTGATTCCCAGTCCCTCCTGCCCACCCATCTCACCCACCTCCTCTTGGCTTCTCAGGAGCAGCAAGAAATGGCACAGCAGGAACGCAGGCGGCAACAGGAGCTGCGCCTGGCCCTGAAGCAGGAGCAGAGGGCTCGGGCCCAGCAGGGCCATCGGCCATACTTCCTGAAGAAATGTGAGTGGGGCACAGCCCTCTCAGGCTGCTTACAGGGACGGGCTTGGGCGGCCATGGAGGCAGCATGCTGTGGTGGGGGTCCATGAGCTCCCTGAGGGAGGCAAGAAGGCTGGAAGGGAAGTTGGAGGAAAGTAGAAATGGTAGGGAGGAGTTATTTGTAACTATTCTCCTATCCCTAAGTATAGATTACGAGCAAGGAGTGTTGCTTTTATCTCTCTCCTGCCTCCCCTCCATATGGTGCGCCGGGCACATAGAAGGAGCTCACACTTGGTGTAATAGAGAAAGCAGGGGATCATAGAAAAAGTCCACGTGCTGCACTTGCCAGTGAACTCCAACCAAGTCATGTATCCCGGCGTAGTGGTTGAGAGGTACAGACCTGGGGAAAGAGAAGCGTGCCTCCTCCTTTGCTTACCAGCCTTCTTTCTCCCTGTCCTCTAGCTGAGCAGCGCCAGTTGGTCCTAGCTGAGAAGTTCAAGGAGCTAAAACGCAGCAAGAAGCTAGAGAGCTTTTTGAGTCGAAAGAGGCGCCGAAATGCAGGCAAGGACCGGAGACATCTCCCCTTGAGCAAAGAGTAAGGAACTGTCCTGAGCTCTGCCATTGCTCCAGTGAGAAATGGATCTGTGGGGACAGACCTGGGCTTGGCCTGTTCTGGTTCTTTTCCATTCAAGGGCAAGGATCATAGCTGCCCTTGAGCTAGATTGGCTCAAAGACGACTGGAGGGCTCTTGGACTGCCCCAGCATTGGAGAAGAGCAGCTCAACCTTGTGCTATGCCACACTTCCTCCGCTTGGGTCTGGTTCATCATGTCCTCATGGCCTCCCATCCTTGCTTTAGACCAGTGATTGTGGTATAGAAGAGAAAGGGCCAGTGAGTGGTCTTAAGGCTGGTGAAGGCCTTGAAGTCCGTGCATGGCTCCTCGGGCTGGGACTTTATGTAAGAGCCAATTCATAAACATTCCTGTCATTCTTTTTTTTCTGCTTTTTTGGTGGGCTTTGTGAGTGGCCTAGAACTACTGTTTCAGTGGGGCCACTTGTGGGGGCTGGCAGCAAACATAAGGCTCCCACAAAGAAGGAAGTCAGATCAGAGACTCCTCCTACTTAAACCTCAAAGAAGACACAGTCATTGAAAGAGTGAACCACTCCCACAACTCACCTACTTAGCTTTGGTTTTTGATACAGGGGGAGGTAGGGGGTGAGGACAAAAAGTTTCCCCCGAGGGGCGCCTGGGTGGCTCAGTCGGTTAAGCGTCTGCCTTCGGCTCAGGTTACGATCCCAGGGTCCTGGGATCGAGCCCCGCATCGGGCTCCCTGCTCAGCGGGAGGCCTGCTTCTCCCTCTCCCACTCCCCCTGCTTGTGTTCCCTCTCTCGCTGTGTGTCTGTCAAATAAATAGATAAAATCTTAAAAAAAAAAAAAAGTTTCCCCCGTAATGTGTCAACACAGCTGGCTCTTAATACTATTTGGGTCTAGAGTTCAGATTACCTGTGTAGACTGGAAAATCTTCAAGCTAATAATTCAGTTTGAAATGGTCTCAGGTTGGTAGTGCTCCCAGGCACCTGGCAGAAGCAAATGTAATCTTCTCTTGAGGTTTGTACTTTAAACCCAAGCCTCAGGGCGCCTGGGTGGCTCACAGTTGGTTGAGCGACTGCCTTCGGCTCGGGTTGTGATCCTGGAGTCCCGGGATCAGGTCCCGCATTGGGCTCCCTGCTCAGCGAGGAACCTGCTTCTCCCTCTGGCCCTCCCCCCTCTCATGTGCGAGCGCGCTCTCTCTCTCTCTCTCTCTCTCTCTCATTCTCACTCTCTCAAAATAAATAAATAAATCCTTAAAGAAAAATAAATAAACCCAAGCCTCAGGGAATTCCTTCAGATAAAATTTGAAGGAATGTGTGCTTTTGGTGAAAATACAAAGCACACAGTGAAAGAAATCACCATGAGTAAGAGTCATTAGGGACAATAGACAACAGAATCAGACCAGCAAAGACATGTTAGAAATATAAGATACAAAACGGGTGCTTGGGTGACTCAGTAGGTTAAACGTCGGACTCTTGATTTTGGCTCAGGTCATGATCTCAGGGTCGTGGGATCGAGCCCTGTGTCTTGGTCCTCATTCAGCAGGGAGTCTGCTGGAGAATCTCTCCCTCTCCCTCTGCCCCTTCCCCTCTCTCCTTCTCAATAAGTAAATTTAAAAAAATTACAAAATATAAAATACCTTATATTTAAAGAAAAAGTATGACTGAAGAAAAGAATATCTAAAGGGACCAAATTGGTTTGATAAAAAAGTAAAGCTTTTAGACTTTAACAATATACTATTTGAAGTTAGAAACGTCATGGTTAAACAACAGATTCGACATACCTAAAAAGAGAATGTCCTACAAGTAGATCTGAAGGTACACAGGTGCAGCACAGGGGTGCAGAGGTACGGAAGCTAAGGAAGAGGTTCAAAAACATGGAGAAGACAAAACATGGAAGATAGATTGACGTGACACATAGAATCAAAGCTCCAGAGGAGAGAATGTTTTAAAGAGGCTGGGTATTTTGTAAGATGGAAATTTATAAACCCTAAGCCTCAGAAAGCCCAGTTAATTCTAACTGGGCTTGACGGCTGGCTTCGTTGGTAGAGTGTGCTACTCGATCTCAGGGTCGTGAGTTCGAGCCCCACATTGGGCATAGAGATTTTTCTTTTTTAATTGATAAATCATAAGAAATTACAGAATATCTGAAAGACATCTAAAAAGCAGCTATCAGAAGAAGAGAGAAGTGTTTGATGTTTGTGTGTCTGGGATGGGGGAAAAGATGTAACTGTGATGACTGAAATGTGAGATGAGCGTAAAATGTTTGTTTCCCAGTGACTGTAAGCCAAGGAGTGAAGCTGCCAGGATAGTTTGCCTTGCCCAGAGGGATCCAGTGCTGTGGGGTCCCTGATGTCACACGTGTCAATCCTACTTTAGAGCCAAAGAACAGATTCTGGCTGATAAAAGCAGAAAAAGACGAATTCTTAGGCTCACAGAAACACGAAGGCTTGAGAAAAGTTTTTTTTTTTTTTTAAAGATTTTATTTATTTATTTGACAGAGAGAGACACAGCGAGAGAGGGAACACAAGCAGGGCAAGTGGGAGAGGGAGAAGCAGGCTTCCCGCCGAGCAGGGAGCCCGATGCAGGGCTCGATCCAGGACCCTGGGATCACGACCTGAGCCAAAGGCCGATGTCTAACCAACTGAGCCACCCAGGCACCCCAAGGCTTGAGAAAAGTTTAAAAAAAAAAAAAAGGAATGGTGGTTGGCAGATAAGTCTGAGCCTTAAAAGCACTCTAAATCCTACGTGGGAACTAGAGTGTGGTGGTCTCCTGGCTGCCACCAGAGGTATTTCGCTTTTTCTTCCTGCTTTGCTCTAGATTGAGAAATTCCTGGCAGAGGCATTTTCTTGGCTAAGCCGTGGTTATATGGCTGCAGGGGTATAGCTGGGAAAGCCAAGTATCTAATCTTGTATGTGGTGGGAGGTGGGCTCTTGTTTCCTTTCGTGATTTGTGTGGGGTTCCCAAGTATGAGAAGGGGCTTCAGATGAACGGTAGTCAAAACACAATGCACGTCCACCACTGGGTTGTATGCTGCCCTCACCCCCAGGCCTTCAGACGGCCACTTTTCCCCTTCACCAAGGACCCACGGGAGACATTGGAAAGCTCGGAGCTTTAGCTACGGGTTAGTTGGTCTGCTTGTTTCTGGTTTTTATTGGCAACATACTGAGATATAATTCAGTTTACCCATTTGTACAATTTGGGGGCGCCTGAGTGGCTCAGTCGTTAAGCATCTGCCTTCGGTTCAGGTCATGATCCCAGGGTCCTGGGATCGAGCCCCACATCGGGCTCCCTGCTCGGCGGGAAGCCTGCTTCTCCCTCTCCCACTTCCCCTGCTTGTGTTCCCTTCTCGCTGTGTCTCTCTCTGTCAAATAAATAAATCTTAAAAAAAATTTTTTTTGAAAAAAAATTGTACAGTTCAATGGTTTTTAGTCTATTCAGAGTTGTGCAAACATCACAAACATTTTCGAGTGTCTAGCAGACACTCCCCATTTCTTCCCAATCTCCCCAGCTCTAGGCAGCCACTAAACCACTTTGTCTCTAGATTTGTCTATTTTAGAACATTCCCTGTAAGTGGAATCAATATGCGATCCTTTGTGTACAGCCAGCTGTCTGGGATATAAGGAACCGAGGCTGTGAGGAGGGTCTCACAAGGGGGGCAGGGGAGCAAACTTCTGAGTCAGACAGGAAGCGTGTGCCCTGGACGGACAGCAAGTCCTGAGGGCAGGGGAGGAGGCTCATGTTTTCACTGGTGCTGGTGAGCGGGCAGTTGGGACTGCTCACCTGGGTGGCTGCATTTGGACAAATCAGGCCAGAGTGGAGGCAGGGTTACATTGTGTGCTGAGGGCACAGGGGCTGGACTGCAGGCAGGAACATGCAGGGAACTGGGGCCAAGGCTGGTGTCTTCTTCCCCTAAGAATTTGCAAGAGACTCATCCGTTACAGATAAGCAGGTAGGCACCCTGTGGGAGGCTGAGGGGCAGGGAGATGAGCAGGACGAATGAGGGGTTGAGCCTACAGCCCCGCGGCCCATGCGGGAGCCTGTGTGCACAGCCGCAGTGCAGGGGGGCAAAGTCCCCTCCTGTCCCCTGCATGTGCTGCATTCTGATCTGGCTACTAGAGCCTGGAGCCTCTCTGGGTTTCTGATGGAGAAGGATAGGCTCAGAAAGAGCATGAGAACCCAGAAAAGGGCAAAAAGTTCTGGCTCCTAAGAGCTAGCTCAATAAGGGCATGGCCTGGGCCCATAAAGGAGCTAGGCCATGATCTCTGGCACAAAGGCGGAGAGGCACCCAAGTGACAAACTTCAACCACCCCGTGTGCCCTGGGGCCCAGTGCTGCCCTGGCCTGCTGCCAGTCTCTGTGTTGTGGACTAGCGTGGACCAACCAGATGTTCTGCTCTGAGAACCACCCACAGCACCATGAGGGCACCATACTACAAAGCAAAGCAGGCACGGGCCCTCCATGGCTACCCTGTTTGCCCTCTTTTGCTCTCTTGTCCTGGGCGTCCTGACTCTCCCAAGCCCTGGCCTTTTTCCCTTACAGATTCTATTCCAAATCTCTGTCTTGGGTGGCACCCAGTTCCCTCTGTCTGGCCTCTGTGCCCTCTCACCACATGACTCCCTCACTCCTCCCCCCACCTTTCTTCTGTAGCCTTCTCCTAGTCATCTCTTGGCTGCAAGAACGTTGGACTCAGGATGCCTGTGTCACTCCTTCCTGACCCCTGTAATAGCGCCTGCCAAGATGCAGTGCTCCTCCCCTGGCACCGGGTCCCCTAGCCCAACCTGCCCTGCCTCGGTGTGGGCGGGGCTAGGGGAGTCAATCAGCAGCACAGAGCAAGCCTCCCCAACAGTGGCCCGCCTATGGTGCTAGTGAGGGTCTGGCTTTGGCAAGAGCAGCTCTACAGGACCCAAAGAAGGCAGTGAGGAGGGGCTCAAGGGAGCTGCAGTTCCTTCTAGGTCGGCTTCCAACCCAGATCCTAAAGCTTTCGGATGGAATGCATATTCAGGCTCCTGGGTGCCTGCAGTGGCCACAGGGTCCTTTATCTTACCATGCATTACACTCATTGCTGGGTGTGGTGGCCAAAAGAGGGATTCACTGGCACGTCAAATGCTCCCATACCTGGTGCTCGTCAGAACCCACAGGGACTCTGGTCCAATTCCACAAATGAAAACGATGGAGCCCTGCTTAACAATCTGCCTAAGTTATAAGCCACAGAGCGTGTGGCAAGGGGGACTTGGGTCTCCAGCCTGCCAGGTGAAAGCACTTCTGACCACATACTCTCTGAGAAGGGCTGGAGGTCCATCCCTGTCTACTTACCCCCCCGCCCACACCTGACTCCCTCCACCGCTCTCCCCGGGCTGCCAACTTCACCCGAGCCAGTGACTCCCGGCATGGGATGACGCGGCCTCAGAGCCAGAGGGCTCCTCTCCCTCTTCAGCCAGGAAAGTCTCCACTGCCCCGTCAGAGCCTTAGCACTCACCACACGGGCCACGTAATCAAACTCCTGCATTTTATTTCCGTAGAAAGCACTGGTCCCATCTCCAGGGCTACCGGAAGGTAGAGAAGCTCTGGGTGCCGCTGCAGGAGGCGTAGGGCACGCCCCGAGAGC